ATATGCTCATAAAAGAGGAATAAGTCAACTGAATGAAACAAAAAGTCAGTATAGGGTAGTTAAATGGAAGTCTATAAAGAGATAGAAATACTAACAGTAAAAAACAAAACAAAAAACCATGAACTACAGGAAGTGAAAAGTTCAGTATGTCAAATGCAAATCTCAGTGAAGAACTCACCAACAGAATAGAGCAATAAGACAGAACACTGGGGTTTGGTGATAGGGTCGAGGAGCTAGGGCATTTATACAGTATCAAGTATAAGTTAGTAATAAAGCATGAATAGACCATGTAAGATCTACACTCCTACCCACAACCCCACCATTAATTATGCTTGCCCATGCCCCTTGCCTTGTCAAGTTTTTAAATACTTTTTTCGCTTTTTGTCCAAGCTTCTGTTCAACTCTAATGACTACTTTGGATATTCATTTCCTGATGAAAGTTCCTGCATCTTGTAAAATTTCAATTTGTATGCCTTTCTCTTTTATCTCTTTATTCATTAATTTAATTATTTATCTCTTCATCCTTCTTTAAAAAAGCAAAACAACTCTGCATCTTGTTATGTACCCCACTCTGGGTTGTTTTTGTTGTTGTTGTTTTGTTTGTTTGTTTGTTTGTTTGCTTGTTTTGAGACAGAGTCCCTCAGTGTAGCTTTGGAGCCTGTTCTAGAACTCACTTTGTAGACCAGGCTAGCCTCGAACTCATAGAAATCCTCCTGCCTCTGCCTCCCAAGTGCTGGGATTAAAGGCACGCGCCACCACCGCCCGGCTCCCACTCTGGTCTTAACCTCACAGCTCTCCTGACTACCTCTAGGCTCTGGAATTTTAAGCATGTGCTACCACACTCTTGGCCTATCAAATTTCATTCTCAGGATTAACCAAAAAGGAAAATATAAATTTGGCTTCTCATACAAAAGAAAAAAAAATACGCAAATTCTCAGGGACTTTGCACAGCAGTGTATAATACCATGGGGGTTACCATTCAAGCCTATAGTCAGATTCCTAATACTTTCTCCCTAACCCTTCCTTCCAGGTTGCAGGAACTGCCTGGGCCTGTACAGGAGATGAAGATATGATAGCTCAGCACCAACCTTCTTCCCTAAAGGTAGATATGTTTGGGAATCAGTGGGAGAGTTTGAAAACATACCAAAGCCCATTTCTTCTCCATGGGTGGTGATTCAACCGGCCTGGGTATAGTTTGGGGATGCTCTGAGCTCCAGGGAGATTATAGAGACATGGTGTTTGAGGGCCATGCTTTACTCCAGTGCTTCCTGGAGTACGAAGCTCCACATTTCCCATGAAGCCTTGGTCCTCAAACTTCAACCTCAGAATTTCCAGTTCTCATTTGGACAGCTAAACAGACCCCTGTGACTCATATCCCATCTGGCCCAGTGCCCTGAAATAATGGGCCTGAAATAATGCCCTGGCATTTCCATTTCTACATGTTTCTAGGCAATTGTGTGGCCTCTGCCTGGCCCACATGTAGACAGCCTCTGCTTTAGACAGAACAAGAATCGGAGGCTGCCAAATGGAGCTTCTGAACAGGCTGAGTCCCTTAGATCTCAATCTTGTCCTCCTGCAATAAGGGAAAGCTCAAAACTCAGGAGTTTTGCCTGTTTCTGTCTTCACTTTAGTCATGTTTCAGGAAATGATGTAGTCAAGCATCCTCCAAGTAGACCTAAGCTGAGGGCCTCTAGAAATAAGCCCCTTAGTTATTAATCATCAAAACGTTTATGAGATCTCTATCTGCGATGTACATAATGTTATTACATTTCAGCAACTAAAATCTGTAATGCTCATGTAAATGGGTGCCAACTGGATGTTAATTATATGCACTCCAATTTATATTTTTTCAAAGGCAAATTATACATATCTTATTTCACATTTTCACTAATGCAATTTTTTAAATTCCACATTGAAAGCAGCAAAATTCACCTACATTATGAAACTGTGGGGTGGCTAATTAAAAGAAATAACAATGCTAAAGGCGTGTGGCAGTGTCGAACTCAAGGTCACAGGATACTGAGGCTGAAATGGCCTCCTGGCTGAAACACTTCCTTAAAAGCAGAGAAGCAGCTGATCCCTACCAAGCCCAGGCCATGGCAACAGGGAAACCATACCTGTCAGAGATTAAAGGTCTTACTGGGCAAAAGCAAATCCAAATTCCTTAATTCCTTTATATTGATGAGATGAGGGTCATTTTTATTTATTTAATATATTTATTTATTTTTATGAGACCAGAGTCTTACTCTAGTCCCGTCTCACCTTGAACTTGCAGAGGCCTGCCTGCCTGTACCTCCCGTGTGCTGGGGTAAAAGGCAGGCACCAACCTTGGCATTCATATGTCTGGTTTCTTAAGTGATTAGAAACACAAGGTGAGGTGGACCAAGTGGCAGCGGCAGTCAAGTGGCAATTGATGAATCTATGGGAAGAACGCTTCCCAGCTGTGGCAGAACAGCAGCATCACTAAGTGACGCCCTCCAAGTTCTAAAAGCCTGGAACAAAGCCTAGTGCACCAGCCACTAAAGCAGAGAGCCTGGTCAATGACCTGGGCACTGGGATTTTTTTTTTTTTAAGAGCCCCTACAGGCCCAAACGTGAAACAATAGTTCAGCGAGGGAGAGAAACACAGTGGGAAGCCCTCCCTACTCTCCAGGCAACTTCCAGACCCCTGACATTCTCCTCAGGATCGGAATCATGGTAAACAGCTGAGAGAGGGAAGGACCTGGAGCCACACAGCAGCAGCTTATGAGGAATACCTCTGCCAAAACGCTTTGATCTTTTATTCTTCAGCTATAACCAAATTGACCAGTGAAAGCCAATGCATCTGAGTCCTTGAGTTTCATCTGGCTGCCTGTGGTTCAACTTAGCTCTGTGGAGTGTGTCTTAACCTGGTTGGCTGCTGATAAAAACAAAGAAACCTCTCAGGCTTTAACAAGAACTGGACAGAGAGTGAAGACTGGAACAGAAGGTCATTCTTGAGACTGGTTTATTTAGCATGTCTAACCACCACTGGATGAAACACTATCACTTTCCAGTTCTTGAGAACAGCCACACTACTGCCTGTCTAGCTGAGGCAGGGGACTTACTTCCAGGACTCTACTGCCCTGTGCGGCATTGCTCAGCCTTTAAGGTACAGAGGAGATCCCATCTCAAGCAAAGTAAATCCAGACATACAAAAGAAGAATCTGCAAAGGAATCCACAAAAGCACAGGCTTGGGGCTGCCTCTGAAAGAGAGCAGGGTATTTTAAGTATGGGTTCTGAGCTGGACCGGAGTTGAATTTGCAGCGTCTACCGTGTGATCCTGGACGAGGTGACTCCACCAGGCCTCAGACTTCCAAGAGGGAAGGGGTCCGGCCAGCAGAGGGGAAGTGCAGCAGGGTGTACAGGGCAGAGGGTCAGAGAAGGCTTTTGCATCCTGACCAGGGATGAGGGCTTGAGACAGGATGACAGAGGGGAGCCACTCACGTCTTGACAGCACTTTGGAAATGCAGAAAGGTTACTCTGGCACACAAAGCTGGGCACCGAGAGACTGCTGTGGGGAAGACAGGCCTAGGAAGCAGAGCAGTGTCTCAGAATGAGGTGCTAAGCACAGAAGAGAAAATCGAGAGATAGTCCAGGAAACCTAAAAGCTAATCAGAGGGAGAGATGGGAGAGTGCTGTTGTCCCCACGATTCTCAAGAAGAACAACTCTCCTGAGAGGATGTTGTCGCTGCTGTTTTATAGGAAGTAAATTCACACATGCTGGGGATGGATCAGCATGAGGGTTTCTCTGTCCAGACATCCAAAATGAGGAAACTGTTCTTCCGACGGGGCCTCCTCCCAGTAAAAGATATTTACACGGGTTTGAAATGCTGACGCAGGGTACCAGTTTCTCAACACAGGCTCCCATATAACTAAGACAAGTGCACCAAATGGCAGGTGGATTTCACACATGGCAGAGGTGAGGTAGCAGGCAGCCCTGAAGGTAAGTTCTGTGTCCTGTAGTGCTCTACACTGAATAAAATGTTCTATTATTACCAGATGTATTCTGTGAACACCCCTGTATTTTTGTTTGGTCACACATTCTAACATCCTAGCTTTCTGAAATGAGATGAGAAGCAAGACATGGGAAATTCATTGACACCAGGCTGGCATTCACTGTGCTTATTCACGGAGCAGCTGTGGCCACACGAACGTTCCAGTTGATTTTCTCAAGGAACAACAAAGAGACGGCCCTTCAGTATTACTTGTGCATGGTCACGGGTCGGTCCTCCAGATCTTAAACTGCTGTGGTATTCTGGCTGGCCCTTGATAAGATTAACTTATGTCTTAAAGTGAGTCATTTATTCTGCCTTAATATGCTGCTTGCTAAAATTTCTTGGGAGAGTATCAGTCTTGAAGATCGAGACATAAGACTCTGGCTTCATTCACAGTCACCCAGAACTCTCACTGTTCCGTCGCCTGCAGCCACCTGTACTTAGATTTAAAATGGGCTACTGTGAGGACATCTATTCTCTGCAAAAATGTGGTGGCATGACTTCAGTCGGGGTGTGTGTGTGTGAAATGCTGTATCTTTGCTCACTAGTCTTCAGTGGGCTGTTCTGCCATGTTTCCAATTAGCTGAACTGTTTACACAACGATCAGCCTCTATTCTAGAGGTTAGAACTCAGAAAAGCTTCGGTAAGACTGCTGCTTTGAATTCAGTTTAATTTTGTCTGCATGGTCAAGGTGCAATGCAAAGAGGTTCTGGAGCAAAATGGTACCCACAGGTTTTGAGGGTCTCAAAGCGCCACTCACAGACAAAGGTATGATGAGCAAAGAACAACCTACACTCACAAAGGAAGAGTTTCCAGTCATGATCAGAAAAACATTCCCAATGTGGCAGGAGCAACAAATGAATACAAAATGTTATTCTCCCCAAGTCTAGCAAGAGCAAAACTATATGCATGAAATAATGTGATTGTTCTTCACGGGTATCAGCATGACAAAAACATTACTTCCGTTTCCTCCTTCCCACTTACCAACTTAAATGTCAATGTTTTTAAAGCTTTGGGGTCATCTACAATCTTCTGTAAATTAGCAGCCACTGTAAAATATAAACACAGAGAAACAGTGTCCAAGTTATTTCCAATAACTCTGGATTTTCACATCAATGATTTGGAAAATTTGACTAATGATGCAATAAACTGCAAAATCATTTCTTTCACAGGCATTACAAAGTCCATATAAATGACCAGATTACTTTCACACAGATATTTTCTAAAACCATTTCTATCATTTCTGTCAACTCCTGTCTATGTGCATCTGGATTAATCACTTGTACATCAACCCTGCATTTTCTATCATAAAATTTGAAATTACTTTCTAATGGAAAGTAAAGATGAGAGCAGCTCCTGAGTCTCAACTGGTTGGTTTTTCTAGAAACTCATTACGGAGAAAATGATTAGCCAGGAGGGGGCAGTGCAAAAGAGGAAAGGGCTGTTACAAACTTCCCTGGGAAATAACCAGTCAGCATGCTGGAACTCTTGGCCTATACATTCACTCAATGCTCTGCACCCGTTTTTATCATGCAACACAATACAGCAGACAACCTTTACAGCTCAGGCAGGCCGTTATGCTTTCAGGCCCCAGCGACCTGTCTCTATATGGTGACGTGTCACCTTGAACAATACACCTGAGTCGGTGGGCCAGGGTCAACGCGCGGAGGCTGCCAGTGCAGAGCTCCGCACTGAGGAGCTAGTCCCAGGGTCAATGGACCCATCAGAGGTTGGCCCTGGTCTCTGTGCGCTCTGGTGTATCTGGGGCTGTAGTACAGAAGGCAGACTTTTCCCGGCTGCCCTTCTAACTTGAGGTACTCCTTATGAGCAGAATTAGCAAAGAACGAAGAGGATGAAAATGGAAAGCTACTTTTTTACATCCACACTTCAAGGATAAATTGAGAGTCAAGTTGGAGCCAAGGGAAATAGGTTCCTACTAGATCAAAAACTAAGACAACGGGGCTGTGGGGGGTGGTGGTGGTGGTGTGGTGGTGGTGGTGGTGGTGGTGGGTGGTGCTGTTTGTCATTTTTATGTTGTCAGAAAAAGCTGATTCGGGTTTTTTTCTGAATTTTTTGAGATTTGAGACTTTGAGAAGACAGAAGTACACTATGAGTTTCAAGTAGAGAGAGGAAGGAAATATGTGAAAATTTTGTTTTCCTTTATGGTTGACAGGAATTAACCTAGATATGAGGATTTTCTGCAGATTTACTTCATTTAATCGGTTAGTTGTAAAGGAGGGCAAAATGAAAATTACAGGCTTGATATGGCCTATTTTTTCTTTATAAATCACAATTATAAGCATAATTTTATATGCATTTATTGCCCTCTCACCTAGTTGCATTCTGAGCAATCTGAAAGGTTTCATTTTTACCCACGCCCACTCCCTCCTTCTCATCTCTTCTTTTCTTCTGTCAGCACAGGCGATCGGACACAAGTACACACCTATTGATCACAGCCCAGGCCACTGACGCCCATGATGCTGGCCTCCCTGAGCTTCATGAATAGACTCGAGATACTAAAATCATCAGTAATTTGTGTAAGAAATACTGGCTCCCAGAGTGAGATTTCCAGCGAGGAGAGAGACACTGCCTACCAAAGAAAGCCAGCATTCACTATGTCAGGACACTCTGACTATACGCAAATTGCAGAAGGGGAAGACAGCGCTTGTGTTTTTAAGACATAAAAACGTTCTAATAGCCCCACTGATTCGAGCTGACTTCACGAGTGGCTGTAAAGTTGTCACATGAATTTTCGTCCTTTCATTGGGCTCTCTTGGCTAATGTGGCTGATTTACTGCTTTGTTCTGGGTCATCTATTTCTAGGTTGCTGTCTAACGTTCAGCCAGACACACTGCTCTGTCCCGCACGAATTCATAGCCCTCCCGGGTACAAACATGTGCACAAGGGCCCACTTCTAGGGAAGTGGCCAGCAGCTTGTATACCCACTCAAAAGCAGGCATTGGCTGCCGGCATCTGAAACAATCACCTTAGGACCTGGGCTCCCCAAGTGTGGATCCCATTCCTCTGGGACATTAGAAATTCAAATTCTGTCTTTGGCTCAGAGCAAAAATAGCAAAACTGGCCACTTACCTGATTACTTAACCCAGCTGCTAGGCTTATTTTCAATTTAGTTGATTCTAATTTGTTGTAAAGTGCTATAAAACACCTTCATTTAACTGACATCACGGAAAATTCAGGGTGATGCTAATTTCTCTTCCAGCAGCAATACTCATTAAAAAGATGGGTGCCACTGCTTTCTCCCTTCTCCTGCCTGTGCACCTGGATTTCAAAAATAAAAACGCTCCTTACCTGGAACGTGAGCGGGGAAGGAAGTGCTGGCTGGGCTGTCTGTGACTCTAGGCTTCTCGCCCATGTCAGAGAACAGTGAAGCTGCTGTGCTAAGGGACTCGAGAGTTTCCCAAAGCCTTGCTTCCAACGCCCATTGCCTTGGCCAAGAACTGAACTTAAGCCCCTCTAGACTTCCTAAAATAAAACTCAGGTCTTTCGCTTCAATGCAAACCATTCTCTTCTTTGAATTCGCCTCCTAGTTCCTCGCCAGGCCACTGAACTCGGTCCCAAGAACTTCCTCATGCTCGGGGGAAGCAGGGACACGGTGAGACCCAAGGGCTCTACCTCTTAAGCCTCCCTCCCTGTTTTCCCTTGCTTCACATGTCAGGCTGGGTGGTCCGTCGGGACTAAATTTGTATTTCCATTTCTTTTTATAACATGTAGCATATACAGCAAGCACTGTGACTTATGAAGCTGTAATAACATCATTAATGGCCCACATGGAGAGTATGCTCATTACCTCCCTGGATCTAAACAGAGAAGGCAATAAGACCGTCTGGGCAATCTGTCAGTATCCAGGTGGCCAAGTACATACTTCTTTGGCAAATGAAGCCAGGTCTTCTCCAGACAGTTTTCTCTATGAATGCCTTGTGTTCCTCAAATCCTCCATATTTTCATAGCTAAAGAATTAATGGTGATTTAAGGACTATTTATAGCCTGTGATTATATTCTGAGTAATTAGTCAAGAGGTACACTTCTCTCCTGGGGTAATAGATCATTTGATAACAATCTCATACAATGCTGAAGTTTCTATGATGGTGAGTTAGTTTAACTTGACCTAGTACTAAGAAAAAGCTTTAGGGAAAGAGGGCCAGTGATCACTGAGTCTGAAGGAAGGCCACAAGTAAGACTTAAGATAAGACAAGCGCGATCTTGGAACACCTGACAGGGTGATGACTTCAATCTGATGATTTATTCAAGAGACATCCTACACCCCTGATCTCACACTGAGTCGATGCAGAAAAGTAGCAAGAAGCGCCAAAAGGAAGGGAGATAACCCCAGTTCTAAGGAGAAAAGGGGGTGAGTATGGGTGCTACTCTAAAATGAATGAAAATAATGGCCAGTCACATTCCAGATCTGGATGAAGCAAGAGATTCATCTCAGTATTTTCCCTACGTTTCCAGGTTCTTGACTTCATGGAATGCCCTGAAGTACAGTGTGCACAAATCTAAACTCCCCATTTAGAATGTATTTAGAATTGAGTATTCCTTGTGCTGGCACATCTGTGCTTTCTGCACTGGGCAGCTGCGGCTGTTTTACCTGGCTTGTCTTCAGTCTTGACTGCTCTTTGTGGGTTTTTCACACCCACTGTTTATGTGGGAGTCTGGGTCACAAATGAGAATGTGCTGCCTCCTTGGATAGTGCCATCTCAACAGAGTCTAGACTGTTACTGAACAGACAAGAATGAAGACACAGAGGCTACCATCCTTCCATCTTCTGGGGCTACTGTTAGCAGATGACTCGAAACTTAGTCCTTTTCTGGGAGTTCCCTATGCCCAAAGAGCTGGCTTAGCCCCGGGCAGGGCTCTTCCCAAACCTGCATGCCTTCAACAAGAGTAAGAAAGTCCTATGTCTTCAATGCTGAATGACCCTGAGAGCTCTCTTGGTTTGAAAGCTCCTTTTGGTGAGGCCTTTTTCTCTGGGGGGAGCAATGTGATTCCTCTACATTCGGATTCCTTAATTCCTTCACAGCTGTTGATCTTGAAAACACTCCCCACAAAACCTACCTGGACACAAATCTATGTCTCTCCTTCTCCTAGGCTCTGTTCATGAGTGGAACACAAAAGGAACCTCCCACTACAGAATTCTGGGACAATACAAAAATGGTAAAAGAAATATTGAAGTAAAATAAAAACCAGCCGCATTAAATACTTTTCTTAGGAATTCAATTAAAATCCTGGTGAAAAAATGGGGTGCTTCTATGAGATTATAGGATACTACATGAACTACAAGTATCAGCTCATAGGAGAAGCAAGATGTCATTCTTGAGTATCTTATTACTTTTACGTAAAAGGATGAAATTCATGGGAAATAGGAACAGAGACATACACCCATGATTCTCCCTAAGGGGCAGGTAAATTCCAGTTAGTATAACTTGGGCAGGGTGTGAAAATCTGAAATCACTTGACATAGCAAAACTACCTGTTACTGAATCTGCCCTTAAAAAATATAACTGTTCAAGACTGGTATTTTGATCCTGAATTTTGTTTAATGTGTTGAAGATAAAATTTTATGAACTGGCTGACAACAATGGTAATGGAAGTGTCCAATAATCATTATGTTATTATTGCTCATTTTCAGAGAAATGAAATTGTATAATCAATACAGTTATAACCTCATTTTCCTAATGGTAGTGAAAGACCGATATACTTATAGTTAAATTCCTCTCCAAAATGAAGATGAAAAAAGTAAAAAAATAAAAATAAAAGCATGGTGTGAGAGAGGATAGCTAAGTCACACTGGCCAAGAATAAAGGGCATTCATCTGAGATAATGACAAGAATTCACTCAGTTGCTTAGAGAAACAAAGGGGATTTTCTTGGGAGACGCATGTAGTAAAATGGACTTAGCTTTCTAGAATATGAAGAATTCTATAGGTATCTTAGCCTTGCTTTTAGCCCTAGAAACCTCTAAATTTTTAGGTGAAACTTTGTGGGCACACTTCTAAAGAGAGGAATGTTGCTTTTTCTAAGTACTCAGC